TCTTAGGTATGTTGAACCCTTGCGAAATTGTATATTTCAAAATTTTTTACATTGATTGTGGGGAAGATTGTGCTGGCCACTCAAGAGAGACTACAAAGATTCTAGAAGGAGGTTATAGTTCTTCAAACCATCTTACGCCGACAATTAAGATATAATTTGCAAAAACTCTCTTGCATAGAATTCTTCTCCGGAAAACCCGAAAAATGACACTTCTCCTTCATCCGGTGTGGAACTACGCAACGGATACGATTTCATACTATGAAGGCCCCACTGACCCAATATCTTTTAGAGCTTCATTATAGAGTTCTTCTCTTCCAAATTAGTCTTTAATTTCAAATTCCAAAATGACGGCATATTAGGAAGACGCACTTCATCATTTCGCGACATTTCGACGCTTCTAATGTGATAATTCAAAGCGGTACATTCATTCAACGTGGCCGATCTTCCTAGGTTATTTGGCACACTGTATGATAGAAGTAGTCGACGTCTGCTTAAAGAGTTCGCGTAAAAATGGAGTTTTTAATCATAAAGCCACAAGCCGCAGGATGAGCAATGCACTCCTCATCGTTGTTTAGTCACCCTTTATTTTCTGCAACGGTGTTTCGAATTGCGACAGCAAGATGCTGGATCATTCGTATACGCTCTTGCCATCTGTGATGAAACTCCTATTCTAGGGCAAATCCACTCTAATGCAAAAAATGTGTCTTGATACCCTTGATTGTCCTATCATTTAGTTGCTTAAACCATCTGCACTATGTATTTCCAAACCAAGAATACCCAGACAAGCTATGGGGGTCCAAAGCGCTCATGAACCAGGCTGACGTTCTTACATCAAAGCATCTACCACTTACATTAGAAAAACCAAGACTTACCCGGCTAAAGAGCCAGGATAAGGTTCCAAGTCAAAAGCAATCAGCTACAATAAACAACAGCTTGTAAGGACAAGTAAAAATAAGGGGTACATGTTATCTAAGTCTCACAAAGCTACTTCAAGAGTTGCCAACGATTATGAACTGTGTCTTCCTTGAGAAATTGAAATGAGCACAGGACTTTGAAGTCTTTCTGTGACATAGAGTTAATCCAATGCACACCGTGCAAATTGCTCCCAGCCCTGATAAGATTTCGAATCTGATTGCTTAACTATTGAAAGGAAATGGAGAATAGTCGGTGTTTAGAAAGAAACGAACCACCAAGAGTAGAATGTTCCATGACCGTTGAAACTGCTTTCGATCATTCCTCAAAAAGGAAGTGAGATGTACAAGATCAGGCATAATAATACAAAGTGAAATTCTGCGCCTTAGGATTTGGAATTATAAGAACTTGAAAGAATCCAGCGGGGAAAAAAATTCTTGAACTCCCGATGAAGCTATTTTTTTGGTTACCTTCTGATAACACGATGTGAGAGGCATAATCTCGACAAAGATTTATTACATCCGTAAGAAAATATAATTAAGAAAAATTGGCAGATTTATACCAGATTCACGTTCCAGTGCTTAATGTTCGCGTCTTGGCCTACGCTCAGCAGTTCACTGTCGTTGAGAAACACGAGACCATTGACAGGCGACATAGCATGAGCTCCTGAAAAAAAAAACATGAGTTTTCACGTCATACGCAATTTTTCCTGA